GACTAGTCCACCTAAGAAGTGGGTAACTTTACACAGCCTGAAAATAAGCCCTAATAAATTTGTGACAACCGTGTTATGGCTCAATCACATCCACTAAATGAACTACCAAAATAGCAGTGCTCAATCAGCAGTTGCAGCCTCTACTGGGACTTTAGCGATAATCCTCAGGGGCCTGGCAGCAAAGGGTCAAAGTCGGGTTAAATGTCACTCAACAATAGCCAGCTTTCAGTTTATATAGCTGGCAAACATGCAGTGTTTCCACATCCAAAGTGATTGCATGCATTATTTGTGGGCTTTCTTTCCATTGCACTATTCATTTGAGGAAAGAACCGTGGATTCAACAACATATACAAAAAATAACCCAGTGAATGAGAATCAGATCATATCTTTGACCCAACAGATGATAGATTTTAAAGTCAGCTTTTAAAAGTCGGGACTTTTGTTCAAAGGGGTGAAAATTCTTAATCTATACCTATAGATGTTTTTCTCCTCTTCAGTCTTGGTGACAAACCTTTTGAGAAGGCCACTGTCATCATCTTGTTGGCGCTGCCATTGTTGAGGCCACCGAGTTGCACAAAGTCGGATATATTCCAAGGTAAAAATAACATTGCATGAAATGGAATACAGTTCGTAGGGGCCAGACTATTTAAACAGCAAGTCTGGCCAAACAGCCGTTTTGAAACAAAGTAGCTCCACAACAGATTTGACCAAAACGACATTAACACCGAGACCAGATTCTGCACCGATTACACTTTTTTTTTAATGACATTGATTAACAAAATTAAAATCCAATAATTTCTCTTGCAATCAGGTATAATGTCAGAAGTGAACATCAGTGCAGACTAATTTGCATGTGTAATGATTCGTATCTCGATTAATTAGCACTTGAAACTAGCTGCTTTTCTTGGTGTGATTCCACCTAAGTGCGTGGCAGGTGGGCTTGAAACACTATGATGTTCTGCGTGTCTGAAGGCTCTGACATTCACGAGAAAGCATTCATCATCTAATGATACAAATCTCTAATGGGCAGCCTCACCTGATGTTATCTGAACATTCCCGGATGCCGAGAAGGATGAACCTCCTGTACTTGGAGCATAATCCAACAATTACACTATTTGCATGCATTTGTGCAGTGAAAAGCAGAGGGTGGGCGGTGGCTGTGTGTCCTGCGGTCTGTGTTACATTAGATCAAGAACAATAGATCAAGATACATGACATGTAAAGAGCCACAAGCTCTGATGTACATGTCACATTTTTTCAAAAGAAAGATCAAAATGGATATAACTCTAAACCAGCAACCACAGACCAACAAGCTTTACGCTCCACTGAGATGTCCGACCACATTATTGACTTTAGACAATATAAAGGCACTTGGCAGAAGCTTAATGTGTGTTCACACTGCAAATTCACGGAGCCTGCTGAAATGTCAGATATTGCTGAGAGGTCTCTCTTGAGTTGATCTTCACAAAAGACAATGACTGCTCGTGCTGTGACACTAAATGCTCTCTTTTGTTACTTCTATTAAGTTGTGAATGTCAGATTGAATCCTACAGCAAATTCACTTCCATTGCACATTTTATGAAATAAAGGAAGAAAGGTCTATTGTCTCAGACCTGAACACATCATCCACATGTAATATCTGAACTTCTGCTAGATTTTGTATTATTTCGTGGACCTGTGTAGTTTTATTCTGAAGGCTGTCCCAAAAGTTTCTCTTAAACCTGGAATACAATGCAAGACTATTTATGAACCTGCGTCCAGCCAACGTTTATTCTCCTTCTCATGCGTGGACAAAAAGTCTTTCTCCCTTTATGAATTTCAATATCAAGCCAGCTACCGCTCGGGTCACACAGATGTAGGCAATATACAAAAATAATAACAGAACATCAGCAAAACAAATTTAGCTCCGGTGTCTTCGTGTGTATCTCGGCTTGGGGCTTCATACTCTCTAATATGCTGCTATTCATTCATACATTTGCATGAAAAACACGCACGCACGTACCCGCACACACATGCACTTTCTTATTAAAGTTGCCGGTACTGTCAGAAAATATCTCTTCCAAAAGATCCCAGCTTTGCATTATACACCGCGATATGGCAGTCTAAACGGGTGATTAAAATCTCACTTCAAAATCAGAAAGGTGATGCTTACCATGAGAGAAAACATTGAGCAGAAGTCCAACGATTATCATCCTGCCCGGTGACATTGGATAGTTAGGGATTAGGAAACTCGCACCCGGCTCACTGCAGCTCAGTGACCCGTCTCCTGCCACATCCAGCCTCCCCTGCCGCTGCGCCCTCACGGACTGACTGACTGAGGCTGATCGGATGGTCTAGCAGCCTATACAAAGTTGGCAAAAACTGAACAGGAACGATTCAAGTTCTCGCGATTTTTGTTGTTCCATTTATTTTTCGGATCCCGGTTGTATTGATCTCTGTCGGACGCCAATTCCAAAATCATTTATCCACAAAAGAAGAAAGAGAGAGAGAAGAAAGTTTCTCTGCAGCTGATCGCGACAAAGCTCCCATCAGTCACACACCGTACCGTAACCTCCCGAGCGCGAGCTGTGTGGCGTTTGCGCTTCTGCTTCCCTGGCAGCTCCACAGTTGTCCAGCCAGAGTTGAGAGCAGACTGAGACTGCACGGTGCAACTCTTGTTAAAGGCGCAATGTGATTGGCCCAATGCAACGAGCGATTGTGGCCAAAGGGACGTGAAAATGTTTCCAGTGGGAGAACAGCTGGGTCCCAGAAGGAAAATATGGGCATCAACTTTATGGACAACGTGCATCTGTTATTGAGGTTACACGGGGAAAAAAGTTAGCACCATTACTGTGAATCTACTCAACTCTTCACGTGTTGTGTTTAGTTTTTGATGGTCGGTTGTGTTCAAAGCATAGCTCCAGTGAATGAACATGAATGCTTTCGACCTTGACGCTTATAATAGGCTTTTGTGCCATGCCAGGCTGCATTCAGAGGAAATCTGAGGAAGACGACCCTTTGTTTCCGTTTGGACTATATGTCCACGGTTATAAATCGTTTTGGGTTTTTTGTTTCCTCCACAGCTGCCTTAAATTAAACAGCTCTCATCCTTTCCATCGAGACTGGTCTGCAGTTCAGGCTTTTCCCATTCATATCAGTTTATAGCAGGAGTGGAACTGTGAGATCTTAATTTGTTCCAGTGCTGTGGCTGATCTGTGGGGGGAATGTGGTTATCCACAGAGGAATGAATTCAGAAATACTAAAATAAGACTGCTCACCTGTAACGCTAAGGTGATTTCACTCCCTTGTGTTTGTTATTGCACGATTCCGTCTTTCATTATTTCCTCAACTTCTCTCACTTTCAGTATTTTACAAAGATTTGTAGCATCGTTGCAAAGCTTTCAAGTATAGCATCCACGTTTTTAATAAATTGCTTTCTTCTTCTTTTTTTTACTTTAAGGTGTTTGTTTGTGGTTTCGTGGAGTTCACAAGCCTATATGTTTAAAAAATGCTCCACTCAAAAAACATGATTAAATACACCCACAGCTGCCTCTCAATAAAGGCGAACAAAAGCAATTTGAAATTGCAAAGTGCGTGCAATTGACCTGCTGTCCTCACTGTAATTAAAAGCAGAGGGATTAATGGATTAATTTACACATCCTGTTTAAATGTATTCTCAAGTGGCAGCAAGAAATACAAGTGGACAGTGACTGGCGTTAAAATGCACATGCAGACAAACAAGACCAACCACACAGGGCATTTCATAAGGAACTGTAAATATCAGAGGGCAACGCAAGATTTTGAGAAAAAACTAAACATTTTTCCAGGGTGCTTTTAAATTTTGAATAGGCAAATATTTTCTCACAGCAGTACCAAGGGGGTTCATTTAATACGCTGTTAGCCCCTTCACCTTCAGAAGCTGGTCTGTGGTAGGATTTCTTAGAGATGGCTAGACACTGACTGCTGTACATGGCATGACAGCAGCACCTCCCTGTGGTCAACACTGCGCATGAGCCAAGAAACGTGCAGCTCGCAGATCCAAACGCTCAAATACAGTTAAAAATATATGTTCAGTGTTAGTGATGTTATGGCTTTACATAATAATGTCAAAAAATCAATAAAACAAAGTCAACAAGTATATTATTCGATGATCTGTGGTTTGAAAGAAAATCAATGGCTTTTATAAATAGTCAGACAAGCAGAAAATCCATTAACATAGATAGATAGATAGATAGATAGATAGATAGATAGATAGATAGATAGATAGATAGATAGATAGATAGATAGATAGATAGATAGATAGATAAAACTGAGGCCAAGTCTTCTGCCGCCCTCTGGTGTACATATGTGCTTAAGTCTACTAGATAGATAAAATATCTATTTGCAGCATTGTCACAATGGTGACTCACACACACCTAAAGGTGGCTTTCAGAGGGTAGTTGTGGTACCAGCAGTGCAGGTGCAGAAATGAACAAGCATCTAATATCATCCTAGCTGACTCTGCGTAGTACATGAAGAATTATCTGCAGGCTGCTGCAGTGATTTAACCGTTTAGTGTAAATATGCAGATCAGGGCAAAACTAGAATGCGAAACCTATGTTAATAGAGTCACACGTAACACTGAAAATGAGTACAGGCTGTGCCAGAGTTGTTTCATAACAGGTAATATGCCGTTAATAATTGTAGGGATTACGCATCTTTAAGGTCCTTGATAGATGAACCTCACGGTATGATTCACACCACGAATTTGAAACTGTCTCGTTACCCACGATAGTGATTCTGAGCAGGAAGCCAAAAAGGAACGAGAACACGGTCTGTCTCATCTTGGTTTTCGGTCTAAATTAAGGCACTTCACGTGAATTTAATTATAATTCAGGAATTACTCGCCTGGGGTCGAGACAACTACGTAAAGTGACGACAAGACAAATTGGACCGTTTTATTGGCGGAGCAGCGCGTGACGTGGAGGCTAGTTCTCGTGTAGTATCGCGATCCGATATGTGAAATAAATCCCCGGCGCAGCTACACAATCGGCCATTTTGTCGGTGCAGGCCATCAGCCGCAGAGGGCAGAGGGGCGTATAGTATTTACTAGTTACCTGGAAGACACATCAAGAACATCGCAATATGAACGATACACTTGTTTCATTCGCCAAGGATTTCTTGGCCGGTGGTATTTCTGCTGCCATCTCCAAAACAGCCGTCGCCCCTATTGAGAGAGTGAAGCTTCTCCTTCAGGTAAAACTCTTTGACTGGCGGAAAGCCGTTAGCCGGCTAGCTTGTGTAATCTTACTCACTGCCATTTAATAGTATTAATCGAATACTAATTGAGTAGCTTGTACATAAACTAATTGCAGCTTGCTTATTATAATGTTTATCCGGAAACGGTGAAACTATAAAGAAGGACTGCTTCAATGATTTGAGGTCACCACAGGATGGGGAAATGACCTACACGAGCCCGGCTGCTAACGCTAGCTTTATTACACGTTAACCTTAGCCGGCATAGCTAACAAAGGACAAACACGAGAACACTCTGTACGAACAACCGGCAACTCGTCTGGATTATTTAAAGCGCTGGTATCCCAACTATAGTTACACGGGGATAACATGATTATAGTATTCTCGGTAAAATTTGGCGGCGTATCATTGTGGTGGCCCATGTACCCCCGGATGTTAGGCAGCGTTTAGCACGACTGCTAAGCTAAAGCCCGGGCGGTAGTCAAATCACAGCCAGATCAGCAAGTTTTACATCCCTTCTTGTTCAACCCGCACAACGACATTATATTACACCCTTTAGTGACATTTGTGTTATTTGAGGCTTAGTGTCTGTCTGTGTGAGCATGATTAAATTAATAGATGGTTAACCACGTCCGAATTAACTAGTCAGATTACAATTCAACACGGTAGTCATTATCATTAATTACTGATATCTGTTTAAGAATTTATCTTGTGGTTCCTGCAATTTTTATAGCTTCAAGGTCACAACAAAGGGACCTTGTCGCAGTAAAGTGGTTCCTTAGCTTCCTGATTTTTAACCTCAGTCTGTGTGATTCTCCTTTTCTCTTAATCCAGGTCCAGCATGCCAGTAAGCAGATCACAGCTGATAAGCAGTACAAGGGTATCATGGACTGCGTTGTCCGTATTCCCAAGGAGCAGGGATTCCTTTCCTTCTGGAGAGGTAACCTTGCCAATGTCATCAGATATTTCCCCACCCAGGCCCTCAACTTTGCCTTCAAGGACAAGTACAAGAAGGTCTTCCTTGATGGCGTCGACAAGCGCACGCAGTTCTGGAGGTACTTTGCTGGCAACCTGGCCTCTGGTGGTGCTGCTGGAGCCACCTCCCTCTGTTTCGTCTACCCCCTTGACTTCGCCCGTACCCGTCTGGCAGCTGATGTGGGAAAGGCAGGAGCCGGGAGAGAGTTCTCAGGTCTGGGTGACTGCCTGGTTAAGATCTTCAAGTCTGACGGCTTGAAAGGATTGTACCAGGGCTTCAATGTGTCTGTGCAGGGCATCATTATCTACAGGGCTGCATACTTCGGCATCTATGATACAGCTAAGGGTATGTTTATTTCGCACTGATCATAAAGCGATTCATCTGCATCTATTGGTGTTGTAAATAATTTACCTTTCCTTTTGTGCTTGCAGGAATGCTTCCAGACCCCAAAAACACCCACATTGTGGTGAGCTGGATGATCGCACAGTCTGTGACAGCCGTTGCTGGCCTGACCTCATACCCCTTCGATACTGTCCGTAGACGTATGATGATGCAGTCCGGACGTAAAGGAGGTGAGTGTATTTGTAACACGCGTCACCTAGACATGAACCCTGAAGTTACAGTTGATCTGTTCTATATTGAGTTTTATTTCGTAGCTAACTCTTTTTTTTTTCTTTTTTTTCCTTCCTTAGCTGAAATCATGTACACCGGGACCATTGATTGCTGGCGCAAGATCGCACGCGATGAGGGTGGTAAGGCTTTCTTCAAGGGAGCCTGGTCCAACGTGCTCAGAGGCATGGGTGGCGCCTTCGTGCTGGTGTTGTACGATGAGCTGAAGAAGGTCCTCTAAATCTTCATTGTCACATCACTGTCCAATTTGGCTAAATGTAATAACTTTCCATTTCTACGGACTCTGCGTTCTGCCTTATTTATGGGAACAAACTTCTCACCAATAGTGAGAGATGGCTGTACGTTGTGCATCTTTGATTTTAAAACGTTCCACACCCTGTTTACCAATGTCATTCCTGTTTAAAAAGAAATATGATACCTCCTCCTGTCATTCACTAGGTTTGTATGGTCCCAACTTGAATAAATTTATTCTGGGGAACAAACTAAACAATTTATGTCTACTGTCTCCAATACTGTTATAGCATGGGATGAACACTCACTTGGATAATGAAATGCACGAAGTGGATTACACCCAATGGCTATATTTACTCATGCTTATCTCTCCCTGAGCCTTTCTGCATTTGACCGTGGCCACTTCTAGGATTGTAGAATAGAATACTCGAGTGTCACCTCCTTTGTTGTGCCACTCAGATTGTTAGTAGCACAATCTATAGCTTGTATACTGACCTTACTGAGGTTCTGTTTCTAGGTTATCTTTCACACCACATGTAAATTGACAGTATTGCAGTTTTAGTTATTCAAACAGCTGGAAAATGTAAATCTTAAGAGAAATATATAAAATAGAATATATGTAGTTCAAGATATCCCTCTCATTGGATATTCAGTGTCTGAATAAATATAGCTCTTAAATTTAGAAGAACAGAATGACTACCACGCATCCAAGACACCAACTGAATTCAAATCTATTCTCACATCCATCATAAGTTGCTTTGGCGATGTAAGAAGTTTGGTTTTGCTTTGTCAACCTAAATAGCAAACATGATTATAAGGTGTGGCGCATGTTAAGTGAGCTGCAAATGACTGGCTAGGTGAACACTTGCTTTATTAGTCATATCTGTAGCCAGGCAGTGTTATGGGAGAAATACTTCCTACATACTTTCTACATTTTTCATAAGTAATAAAGCCTATATGACATAGTGTAAATTAACATAGGTGTAATTTGATTATATAGATATAAATTATGAGAGAGAGAGAGTTTAAGGTAAACTTGGCAGGTATGTAAAAAAATGGCATGGCTTTTTGTTCTTCTTTTTTTAAACCTAATGAAAAGTCAGATTAAAGATAAAGCAGCGATTAAGAGGCCCTTACACACAAGTTTCAAAGTACAATCTGGTTTCGGTCTACTTAACCCGAGATACTGAATGTGGACAGCAGGGGGCGCCAGTTGCATACAGCGTGAAACTAGATCGGCTCTGCTAAACTGCTCCCACTGAGAGTTTCTTAATGAGGAGTGTCTAAAGCTCAAACAGGCTTTAAATCTTATCAGAATATTATGACAACAAAACAAAGGCTCACCCTGACCCAACCGAGATAAACAATCATCACAAACAGCCAGGCAGTGTTTGCTATGTTGAACTTATTACTTCAATACAGCGAAACCTCCTGCCTGTATAACTCATTTCAGAAGGTTAAAGAGGCGTTGATGCATTCCAGAGTGATGCTGTGTAACTGTAGCCTGTACTGTAACACTGTAACTTAAATGTTGTTGTTCCTCTATTACATTGTAAAAAAGAAAAAAAAGTAATACACCTTACAATAAAGCACCGAGAGCCTGACAAAGTAAAGGAAGAATATTTGTCCAGTGCATTTAAAATGACAAATGTTAAAGTGTTTATAAAGTTGCTAATAAAGTGGACAGATACAGAACTGTTTGCTCAGTGTCTTACATCGGTTTAAATGAAACCCTTTGCATTTTACTTTGCTTTGACGAGAGATTCACCTTTAAATCGTTTGGAAATATGAATTAAAAAACCGGCAAATCACTTTCCTGTTTGTACTGAGAGCGTGGGTGTAGCCATATAAAGAAAGGGAATGATTTGCCAAGGCAGTAGAGCTATGTTTGTCCTATACAAGTTTAATTTGCAGTCATAAACACCAATAACGTATGCATCTGAATAAAATGCATACAGTGCACATTATCTTCTTTGCCTTCTCCCTGTCTGCTCTTGCTGGGTAATGTTTTTGCCAAATCACACCTGTCATATTATCCATTCTTTAGACATCTAATCTGTTAATGAGTATTATTGAAGCGCATGGTTGACATTTGTTTTTTCTTTAACTTTGCTTGTGGAAATAAGGAGCACTGTTTACAGCACATAGCTCTAATCTGAATATCAATAAAAGCTCGTATTGATCTTGCTCGTGTTGTTCTCCGTCCACACACACAGTATGTTAATCAGTATAAAAAACCCCAGAGCAAACCACGTTTGATATGGCCATATCTGAGAATCATCTGCGGCCTTGCGCAGCCACGTGCTGTACTTTGCAGCAGCTCGGGGGTAAAAACGCACACCTAACAACGGGACACACCTGCTCTTTGGTTCCTGCTGAAATCATCTCTGTAGCTCTTTCCACATTGGTCGTGCCAGTTTCCTCCCACAGTCTAAACACTTGTGAGTCAAGTGGACTGTACTCTTGAATTGTCTGTAGGTGTGAAGTACGACTGCGACTGTTTATTAATCATTGTTAGATTTGTAACCAACTGACAGCTTGTCCGGGGTGTTCCCTGCCTCCTGCACAGTGCATTCTGGGATACATTCCAGCCTGTTGTTCATTATCTCGTCACTTCCAACTGTGTTTGGAATCAACACGCACCACAACACACCAGGCTAATATTATTTATGAGCTTAATTTTAGCTACGACGGGTAATTTATTCGAATAAACTGACTCCGAGCATTTCATCTATATGTTTATCTGGTTTTAAGGATTAACTGGATGTTAGTACTTTGCGGCAGCGCAGTTGGGAAATGTGAGTCCTATTATTATTATCATTATTATTACTACGCAGGCATTCATTGATCCAAAGACAAAAGAGCACAAAAAGAAAACAGCAACAAGACTTTCTGTGAAGTACAGGAAAGTACTAGTTTTTATTCCTTCATAATCAAACTTCACAAACAGCTTGAACTTGTACAATACCTCAGAGAGTGAAAATTACAAAAAAAGTGCTGGTAACATTTACAAAAATCATCCTTACTTAGCAACAATCAGTTTATTCTTCCACACTTTTTTTAGTCTTTTGTATTAAGGCTTAATACTTCTGTATAAAGTATATGCAAGATAAGTCTTCACAGTTTTTCGAAAAAAGTCACAATATTATGTAACATAATGAAGCTTTTACGGCTATTTTCTTTATAATAACAAATACACATCACTGGTAAATATATGTGAAATACAGGGCTTATTGTAAAATGGCAAGTAATGATACTGTTTGCTGAGATAAATTGATTCCACACACTGTTATAGGAAAGTTCTGACATACCCTTGCTATAACTGAAGGAGGAGGAGAAAAAAAAAATATGATAAGCATAAACACTTGGGAGATCGCCTCCAAACTTTGGCACATCCCATGAAACAATTTCACAAAGAATGAGATTTATTTTTGAAATCATACATATGGAAGAATAGTTAAACTGGCATAAAGTGAAAACATGCTGTGTAGTAAGGTGCTAAAATCAGAGATATTACACTGCCAGCCTTTTTTTTTTTTTTTCCTTTTTTACCCCACATGGACTGACATGAATAAGGTGCATTTGTAAGACTCAAAAGCATGATGTAGGCCTTTCTTAGATGTCAACGAAATATGCAATAAATACAAGTCTTCAAAAACGACCTAAATGAATTTGACCAATAGTCTCGAGGCGACCTCGTATACTCATGCGTTCCCATGGATTCAGAAAAATGAAAATCTCTTCTGCAGTTGTGTAACTCTAACTGTGGCATGTGAAAGTAAAAGCTGTATTGTATCGGTACAATGGTATGTGTTATTTGATTTTTTTTTTTTGTGTTGTTTTTTCTGTTTTTGTTTCGTTTTACCTTTAACTGTCGTGAAAAACTGGATGAGTAAGGAGATGGAATTTGAAAACTAAATGCGAAACTAAGCCAAGATATATTCACAAGATCCTCTAAGCTGCACTGGTTTACAGGTCAACAGATGAGAGCTCTAGCCCTAGACTTACCAATTTCACCCTCATGCATACTGTACGGTTAAAGTGACGCAACAAGCTTGCTTAAATAGTCTACATCACAAAAAGCAATTTGGTTTTAGTGCAAACACAATTGGCTGGCTTCAGCTTCTCAATAATAACAAGCTCACCAAGGAGATTACAAGAAGGCACATACTTATGCTTCCTCTAACACGCAACAAATTTAGACAAACCGCAACATCTTTCAACAACACCACAAAGCGGTGAAAACAGGAAAGCTACTACATCCAGATAAAATGGTGACGTTTTGCTCTTTGTGAATTTTTGAAAAATTTACACTTATTTATCAGAAAAATATAGTGACGTTCGGGCCGATCGCTAATGCTGCCGGTAAATGACCCTAATTGAAAATGACGTATGATACATTTTGGTGGCTTCTCTACATAAGCAGCCAATGATGGTGCGTTCATTGACGAAAAGAAGAACAAAAAAAAAAGAAAAAAAGATGCATTTTGGATTTTCGTTTTTTCATTATTGTTTCGTTTTAAAGCATTTTTTTTTTCTGGAACATCCCAGAAAAATATCACTCAAAGTTTTTAAGGGAAAGGTGTGCACGACGGCGGACAGCTGGGTTTCTCTTTTGGCATTTGTGTTTATTTCTAAACATGTTGGCTTGTGTGATGAAGACGACTGACTCGTGGTGAACGATTCCATCCCTCATAACATCCCTACTCTCACTTCGGATCTGTAAGAGCTGCTTGATTTGTCCAAAACAATCACAGGAGGAAACAACAGTTTTAATGCCCCTCAAATCTGGACACTAATACTCAGGGTACTGCTGGGTAAATTTAACATAAAAAAAAAGAAGAAGAAGAAGAAGAAGAAGAAGGAAAAAGGGGCGAGGGGAGAAAAAAAAGAACCCTGCTACAAACAGCAATATATGGATGTCATGTGCATTTAAAAAACCAATTCTGTACCTTTGAATACAAAAAAAACAAAACAAAGTAAAACACGTCAAATATCACCATTTACTCAGCATTCCCATGGTGAGGACAAGCGTCCCATACTATGGTTCAAATATGTGTCGTGTGAATTATATTGCTTTTGATAGAATAAGACCAAAATCAGTCTAGTGCAAATCTCTTATCTGGTTTGAGAAGTGGTGGTAGGTGTAATGAGAGGCAACTGTTAAATCTGCTCTAGAAAGAACATATCGGGTGATTCTGACAACTACTTAGCTGTGAAGTGGTATCCCTTTATGAATTTTCTTTTCCAGAAAAGAAAA